GAGAGAGAGAGAGAGAGAAAGAGAGAGAGAGAGAAAGCCACAAAGTGAGGACAGGAAACCGTGGAACCCGAAAAAAGTTGGCTTTATTTATAGTCTGAATAACCAGTAATGTCACCGCAGAAATGTTGATCGACTCAACCTGTTTTCCTGCCATTGTGGAGATCTCAATGTTATCAGGTTTCTCACCGGGTCTCATCGCACACGCGAGAGTAAACAAAGGGCCAAAGTTCATGGTTTGTGAATTCCACCTTTCCACAATGGTACTACAGGGCTGCCAGCTTTGTTTATGTTCATCTGTGCGCTCATAGGCTGGGATTCACACGAGAAACAGGCCCTATCTATCTCTCATTTTCTCTGTCTCTGTCTGTTTCTCTCTCTATTTATCTCTCCATCTCTCTATCTATCTAACTCTCTCTCTCTCTATCTCCCTCTCTCTCTATATCTCTCTATCTATCTATCTATCTCTCTGTCTATCTATCTATCTATCTATATATCTATCTATCTATCTATCTATCTATCGCCCTGCCCATCACCTGTTAATTTTTGTTGAGTTTCTTTGTGTGTGGGTGTGTGTGTGTGTGTGTGTGTGTGTGTGTGTGTGTGTGTGTGTGTGTGTGTGTGTGTGTGTGTGTGTGTGTGTGAGTTTGCTACTTGTTGTGCCCCTTTCCCTCACACTATAAGCCAATCTGCTTTCTATCTGCTTGTCACTCTACTATCACCCATTTATCTCTCCTTCTTTCTTTTTCGCTTCTGTTTATCATTTATAAATCCCTGAGTTGACGAATGCTTTATGGTTGGTTCAAGCTGCAGTACAGCTATCTTGTACGAATATTCCGGGTTCTTTTTTTGTTCTAAAAGATAAGAACTCCCCTTTCAGTCAACGGTGTACAATAACGCAACTTTCAGAAGTTGTCCTAGTTTGCATGCTGTCGAGATGTATTTGATTTTGGGGGGATTTTGTTTTGTATTTGTTTTGTTTTTGATGTTTTTGTTGTTGTTTTTTAAATTTTATTCTTTTTGTTCATTGATGTTTTGGATTTTTTTGTGCTTTGATTTATTTTATTTTATCGTTCGTTTTGTTTTGTTTTGTTTTATTTTGTTTTGTTTACGTTTTGTTTTGTTTGTTTTGTTTGTTTGCTTGTTTGCTTGTTTTGGGGGGGGGGGGGTCATGTGTTTAATAATCTGTAGTGCAGTAAATGCAGCCATCATAAACATGCTTAGTCTTCTGTGGCCTTCATTTGTTAAACATAGACTCTTGAACAGGGTTTTTTTCGTCCGAATTCTTTAGACTAAACCTGGCTAAGAGGCAGGTCCGCTTGTGTGTG